GTAGCTTGCAGCCTCAGTGAGACCAAATAGTTAAGGATTTTTAAAGAAACATGTAGCTACAATTAAGTCTATAGAAAATTGGTTAACAGTACTGACCAGTGGATACAAAGAGTTAAAGTGTTGTTCTGTCATTTGTTTGATTTTTACTGGCCTTGACTCAGGAACTCTGATGGCTACTTATCTCTGCACATTGTATATTTACAGAAGATGAGGCACTGCTGTATAACATGTGCAGGTTACAGTGGTGACAGAGAATAATTACTGCTTCAAACAAATGTAGCTTTTTTTTATAAGTTTAAAAGATGGGCGATATAAATAATAAATGATCCTGTAGACTCTCCTTTGTCATTCACAGTTTATAGCAATGTTCTATACTACACAATTTAAAAAGCGTGGGCCTTCTGATGAATGACTGCCTTACAGAAATAGAATATGAAGCTCCTGTAGGATATTTAGTAAGGTGACTGCTACCTGCTCAAAAGTCCTAAATTCTGTACATTAGACATTTCCTATTTGTTTTTTTGTTTTGTTTTGTTTGGTTTGGTTTGGTTTTTCAAGATAGGGTTTCACCGTGTAGCTTTTGGAGCCTATCCTGGCACTCGCTCTGGAGACCAGGCTGGCCTGGAACTCACAGAGATCCGCCTGCCTCTGCCTCCTGAGTGCTTGGATTAAAGGCGACATTTCCCATTTGTTATGGTTTTCCTGGGAAACACGGGCTTATGTTCTGAATTGCTGCTGTTACTTCAAGGGCTTTGTAGCCTTTAAGAGGTAAAAGTAGGAGACAATAGAAGAAGCTCAGTAGGGGCAGCACTTTGAAGGTTAGACTTCTGCTCTATCCTTGCTTTCTGATCTGTGTTTTGTGAACCAGAGGCTGCCTCATGCTTGTACAGTATGGTTCAGGTCACTGATTATGTATTCTTTGCCATGAAGAACTAAAATCTCTCTGAAAATGTGAGTCAAAAGCAACATTGGTCCAACAAGGACTCAGCCGATAAAGATGCCTGCCATCAACCATGATGACTTGTGTTTAATCTCCATGACTGAGATGATGGGAGGAGTGAACCAACTCTTACAAGTTATCCTCTGACCTCCACATCCTCAGGCACGTAAATGAGGTAAAATGTAATTTTAAAATACAAGAGAAAAGAAACCACCGTCTCTTTAGTCATTTCTGTCATGGATTTTGGTCACAGCACCCAGAAAAGTAACTAATACATCACTCTATACAGCATTAATGCAACCTGTTTATCCCTTTAAATTTATTAATTATGTCAAACTCCTCTCTTCATGCCAGGGTTCAGTCTGGCTGGGGCTTAAATAGGTGTTGTGCATGCTGCCACAAACAGTGTGACTTCATGTGTGCAGCTAGAAGACACTGTTTCCTTACGGGCATCTATAGCTTTTAGCTCTTACTCTTTTTCCACTTCTTCTTCAGTGATCCCCCAGCCTTTGGAAGAGGGTGTGTTATGTTTGTGTTTCATTTAGGGTAGGCATTCTGTACACCTTGGCCAGTTGTGGGTCTCTGTTGATTATCATCTACTACGTGCACACGTCTCTCTAATGAAGGTTGTGAGATGCTTTAGTCTTTGGGTGTAATGCAATTAGGAGTTGGTTTAATTCTGTGTCCATTTATCACAGGGTTTATTGTTTGTTTAGATAGCTTCTTGGTCCAATAATGAGGCCAGGTGTAGTGGTTTTTTCTATTTTTGCTAAATTGATTGCTCTCAGGACATTTGTGCAGTATTGCACTAGGCCTATTATTGTTACAGCTCACAAGGTTCATAGCTGGGAAAGATTGATTACTTTATATTCTTTGGTTTGATGGGGGCAACAGTTGCCCCACTAGACAATAGATGCTAACAAATGAAGACCTAGTCTCAGAAATGGGTAACTTTTTGAGTTGTTGGTGTAGCATTTTACATCATCATGAAAACTAACCAGTACGAATGAAACTTCTAGGTCGCTTCCATCTTTATTTCTCCATATTCTATGAATCAACCGATGAGATGATTAGAAAATGAAAATATATATTTACACTTATTTCTTAGCTTTTATGAAATACAAAATTAGTGGGTAAATAGGTGGAGCTGGAGAAAATCCTGATTGAGATAATCCAGGCACAGAAAAACAAGCAGTATATGTTTTCTTTCATTCATGGGTGTTAGCTTTGTCTCTCTAGGTATGTGCTGTTCGTTTGGAATACTCACAGAGGTCAGGAAATTACTAAGGGATCATGGGGGTGCTTTTAAGGGACAGGGAATAGAAGGCACTGGAATAAAGTCTTAAGAGAAAATTATGGAACAGGAAGGGATAAATTGAAGTTGGGGAGGGAAGGACAGGTTGGAAGATGAAAAGTGTGTGGGGGGGCAGGTAAGTAACAATTAAGACTTCTCAGAGAAGCCATATGAAAACATGTTATTGTAGAAGCTTCCTAAAATATTTCCGTACACACATAAAGAGGAGGAGGTGGGATTACATGAGCAAGGGGGCAGAGTCAAGATTTTGCCTGGGAAACCCACAGATAGGCAACTAGAGTTCATGGGACCGCATGGATTCTGTATCCACAGCTGAGGAATCTTCATGGGGCAGAACTACGCCCTTGGCATGTGGGTGACAGTTGTGTGTCTTAGTCTGTTTGTGATGCCCCTGGAATTGGACTAGAATGGGTCCCTGGTACATGAGTTGACTTTTTGGAGTCCATTCCTTAGGGAGGAGGGGGTGTGCCATGCTTTGTTTATTCCCATGGGAGACCTTACCCTTTCTGGGGAATGGAAGGGGGGGTGAGTGTTATGGTGGAAGTTCCATCCAAGCCTCCTCCCCTATCTCTCTCCAAACTCTGCTGCATCTCAGAAAGCCCTCCAAATGATGGCCCCTCCCCCAGAGGGGCTTAAGACCACTCCCACAGGCTATTTAAACTGTCCCCCAGAAAACAGACTGGTGGTTTTCCTGTCTCTCTTTTCTGTCTCCTTTCTGGGGGACTGGAAAACCATCCAGGAGCATTGTATCCATTAAACGCGGGCTTTTTCTAATTTGGTCTGATTTGGATTGCTATACTGGGGAGAGGCTTATAGGGTATAGAAACTTCTCAGTTGGGTGGAAAGAGGTGGGGATGAGGGGGAGGAGGAGAGGGAAACTGTGGTTGTTAAAATGAATTAAAAAGTATTTTAGAAGCCCCCCCCAATAAAAAAGAACTAAAATGGAATTACCCTATAATGGGACAGCACTGGTGCTGTTAGACAACAGAGGCTAACTAATAAAAATCCAGTCCCAGAAATGGGTAACTTTTGGAGTTGTTAGCCATTGAGGTTCCCAAACATTTCAGGCTATTGCCAGTGGTCTTAGTAACCCTCCAGAACTTGCCAGTTCATTTTACTGTTGCCAATGGTGCAGTAAGAGTGAGCTATATAAAGAGTAATTTTTATTTAAGTTTTCTCTTCTGGAGGTCCAGGGTTAAAGGACCACACCTAGTGATGGCATTCTTTCTGACAGACCCCTATGGTGTGCATGTAGGATGTCACTTGGGAAGGCAGGAGTGACCGGGCAGGCTCCATTTCTGTTTTTCTTATAGCTACCAGGATTACCTCATGGGAACCCTATCCTAATTACCATATTGGATACTAAGCATAAAGGGCCCAACTCCAAACATCATAGTCAGATTAAGTGTTTTAAGTACTTCACAATGAAGTTTAAATCTCAGCACACAGATCCTTGGGGGCTTAAACATACCATATTTAAACTTAAGCAACCAACATTTTGGAAAGGTACAAATAGTAGGTAAGATAGAGGTAAAAGATGGTCAGGGTATGGTCAGACAAGGAAAAGAGTAAGGCTGACGACATTTAGTTCTTTTGCTACATGTGGTACTCAAGGAGGAGACAGAATTCAGGAAGCTGTGTTAGATTTCTGTGTTCTGTGACCTGAAGATAAGGACAAGATAAAGACAGTTCTGAGAGAGAATGCTGAGAAGTCAGTTGTGAACATTTTGAGACTACGCTAGGATCTCAGCCTACAGTAAGCACATGGAGTCAGGGAGTAAAACAGTTTTATTGATGCTGTCTTTGGGATTATATTCTTTCTGCATCATGTATTACCTTTATATAAGTGCTGCAAAGAAAGTATTTAAATTACTTTCTGGTTTTTGGCCTGGTCTCATCTGTCTTGCAGCCACCAAGTATATTGTAATAATCGTAAAATCTTCTTGGACTGATTGGATGCTGAGCTCATCATTGAGTTAGAATGGTCCCTTTTATTTGCATTTGTTTCATATATTTAGCTACTTATGAAAACTGCATTGTTTTTCTACTTATTGCAATTTTATATTTGCTCCCTGAAGGCAAGAAAACACATATATTTGCAGCTTGTAGGAGATGAAACTAAGTGATGTAAACATTCAGACATTTTCATCAAGGAAGTAAAGAAACACTGGGAGTTAATGGCTGTCTCAAATCAATGCATTTCCTTGCTTTCCTGTTAGCTGCCTAGAGCAGGAAGCACACCCAGTATAAAAGATGCTTGGGCCTGTGATCTAAAAGAAGCTAATCCTCAGATGCAGATGCAAGATGGACTCAGAGGACTCAGAGGAGGAGGAGGATGCCAAGAGCCTCCTCTCATGTTTGTGCGCAAACAGAAATACAGCAGTTTAAAGAGTTTTAAAAACTTATTTTTAAAATAATTCTTTGGTTTAGGTTCTGTTCTTTTTCTTTTGCTTAAACTCAATTTTCATGGATACTTTACTTTTCTGTTTCTTATCACACACTAATATTGCATAATAATGGGGACATTACCAGAGACCGTTTTTCAGAATATGATTTTTTAAATAAAGTATTTAAGAAGAAAAACATGAAAATCATTTCAATTTTAACTTCTTTTATCAAGCAAGGCAATTTTATGTTGTTCTAATAGTACATGAATGCAGTTTTTGTATGAACAAAGTATAACTGTCTCATTAGCGTTCTTGTGTTTTACACAGTGATGTTTCTAATGAGATCTGTTTATTGCAGCTGAAAGACGGTGGCAAGGCATCCCAGGCACATGTGCGGATAGGCGATGTGGTCCTGAGCATTGATGGCATTAGTGCACAAGGGATGACTCACCTGGAAGCCCAGAACAAGATTAAGGGTTGCACAGGCTCTTTGAATATGACTCTGCAAAGGTAAGTTGCATTGTGTCACTGAGAGGGAACTCAACTCTGAGGAACTGTCTCTGTGTGTTTGACTCATATGTAAGAAATAGTTTCTGTACTGCCATTTTAGGAAATAAATAAAAAAAGTATAGTGGCACTTTACGGCATGTGAAATTTTTTGTTATCCATACATATGATGATGGCTGTTTCTCACACCCTAAAACTGAGGCTGCTTAGCCGTGTAAGGTCCTTTGTGGGCTGTGATCTTTTCTTCAATACCAGCCTTCCTGTTTTCACATTGTCCTCTTCATTTAATAATCCAGACACTGTAGTCCTTACTTTTATAAACCAGGACTCAGTATTTTATTTTATTTTGAAAACACTGAGTCTCATAAGAATAGATGAAAACCAGATGTTGCCCTGTTTGGATGTGTTTCCAACTCCAACAGTCTGCTACTGATTCTAGTAAAGCTACTGAAGTACAAAATCTGACTAACTTAAAAAACCAACGATAAACATTTGGGGATTCTGTTCTGTTGAGTCTTATCTTTCTTTTTCCAACATTGATATTCAGGGACACAGAATAGAAGACAGAGTTTTAGAGTTCTGCTGTAATTGATTGTAGTTCTTTTCATGTTTCTGAACATAACTTGTATTTCGTAATAGGAGTCCTTTATGATACTATCTATAAATTTGTGCGTGTGTACAAATGTCTCTGTCTGCCTCTCTCTCTGTCTCTCTGACTCTGACACACTCTCTCTCATATGTGTGTGTTTGTGTGTGTGTGTATGAGAGAGAGAGAGTTAGAGTTCCACCTCTGATGACATTCCTCAAGTACCACCTACATTTTTTTTTTTTTAAAGTTTCCATTGGCTTGGTCCTTACTATGTAGGCCAGCCTGGAGTTCTAGGGGCTAACCTGCCTATTTTTACCTCCCCAGTGCTGGGATTATAATAAGTATGGGCCATTATCTCTGGCTTTTTTCATAGGTTCTAGGGGGCAGCTATGTCCTTTGGCTTGTGTGTCAATCACTTTGTTGACAGAACTCTATCTCTAGCCCTATTATGGATATTTTTAAAAGCATATGGCATAACATTGACAGTTCCACAGAAAAAATACTTTTGCTTTTTAAACAGAAAGTATACACTGAAGACTTATCATTGAGTCTTTCCTATTAAAGCCCATCTCGTTTTTTTTCAGTTCTTTTACTTGTATCACAGCAAATATTCTGAATTTGGGTGCTGTCGTTAATTGCTTTTTCTAGCAGACTGTTTATTCTTAATTCCTTTCCATACTGAATTACCCACAAGGTACTTGTGCTATGGAACACTCTCTCTCTCTCTCTCTCTCTCTCTCTCTCTTATAAACAGTTTTCTTTGTGAATATAGAATATTCTGTGCAGATCTGTCCTTATCCTATTTTCCTAGAGTCAGAATGTGAGAATAAGATTTACCCTGCAAGTACTAATAAAGATCTTTTTTAAAAATGTTGCATGCAAGACTGTGAGTGACGCAGGATTAGGAAGCAGGGGGGGTGCACCTGGATGTGGTTTTCTGGGGATACCTACCTTCTTGGATCTAGCAGGAAACTTGGGAACAAAATGGCAGCTTCCTTTGTTTTGCCTTGAATTGGGAAACTGGACTTTGATCCCCTGTCTTGCTCGTGTATGGTTTTTTTTTTCCTTCTTTTTTTTTGGGGGGGGGGGGTAACTAGCTATCTTACAGGGGCTAGGAGAGGAAGGGAGGCAGCAGGATGGGATTAGGAAATAGTTTCTTTTGAGCCCACTTAAAATTGCTTGTGTGAACCTTTAGGAGCAGTTCAGGGGCCCCAGGGGTTTGGTGTGCTGGGATACAGGCTGGGCAGCATCCTGTTTTGAGGTTTTTGCCCATACCTGAGGCTTCTGCTTACAAGGTTATACTCTATTTTTATTAGGGCTGGCCTGTCCGCTCTGGTCACCATTACTCATCACTGCCCTCCATTCTGTTTGGCAGCGGTTTCTCACATGTCTTTTTGCTGCCTCATCAAATTCTTTTTGTCTGTTTTTGCCAATTCATGCTATTATGTCTACAAAGCCCACTTGGAACCTCATCTCCTGCTGTGCTAGTTTGCTTTTCTGTTGCTGTGACAAAACATTGACCAAAAACAACTTGGGGGGGGGGGCTGAAGGGTTTGTTTGACTCCCAGGTTACAGCCAATCTCTAAGGGAAGTCAGGACAGAGACTCAAGGCTGGAACCTGGAAGCATTAACTGAAACAGAGACCATGGGAGAATGCTGCTTGCTGGCTTTCTGCCCATGCCTTGCCCAGTTTGCTTTCTTATACAAACAGCATCTCCTACCAGGGTGGTACTGCCTGCAATAGCTGGAACATTAACCAGGCCAATCTGATAGAGGCTGTCTTACTTAGGGTTTTATTGCTGTGTAGAGACACCATAACCACAGCAACTCTTATGAAGAAAAGCATTTAATTGGGGCTGGCTTTCAATTCAGAGATTCACTCCATTATTGTTGTGGAGGGAAGCATGTCAGCACCCAGACAGACATGGTGCTAGAGAAGAAGCAGAGAGGTGTACTTGCGAAGCAGAGAGTAGCATGTCAGCACCCAGACAGACATGGTGCTAGAGAAGAAGCAGAGAGGTCTACTTGTGAAGCAAGAGAGATATACTTGTAAATTGGCAGGCAGCAGGAAGAGAGTGAAACTGGCCTGAGCATTTGAAACCTCAAAGCCCATCCTCTGACACATTTCCTCCTAGACAGCCACACCTCCAATAACACCACTGTGTAAGAGCCTATAGGGGCGGATTTCTTTCACACCACCACAGAGGTATTTCCTTAACTGAGGATTCCTCTTCCCAGTTAGTGTGTCGAGTGGACTGAAAACTGATTAGCACATTTGTCCGTGGTCTCTTCCTACTGCTGCAACTTACTCATTTCCCCCCTCTAAACTTGAACCAAACAATTGCTCATTTGTTGCTCATTTTTGCATTTAATTACATGCTAGGTACAACCTGAAATATTCGGGTAATTTCATGAGTCATTTACAAATAAACCTAATTAGTTAATAGTTCTACCTTGTGCTGTCTACTCTTAAGCTAATTGTCTCATGCATTTTAGTTCTCATTCTCTGTCTAGAATTTGTGAAAGCAATACCATGCTTCCTGCACTATTTGTATTTGATGATGATGTATAGTTTTGTGTTTTAATGTACAATGAATAATTATTTGCTATGTCAGCATTATTTATCAAGTTAGAATTATGTATTTATTCAACAAATATTTATTGAATTTTACTATAACCTAGGCATTGTTGTACATGCTGTGAATAGAACAGACCCTCAAAAGTACCTTCCCTCGTAGTGCTGTCAGTGGGCAAACAGACAAAAGCCAAGAAAACTGAGTATATAATACATTGATTGCAGTAAGTACCATCAAGGGGAAAAAAGCATTCAGGGGGGAGAGAAAGTGCTGATGTAGAGACTGTTATTTAAAACAGTAGTAAGGATAGCTTTACTAGCTTATTGGGCCTCTGGGGCTCCCGTAACTGAGGCAGAGGGGCAAGATAAACAGCTTAGCTCTTCAGAGCACTGCAAGTGAAGACAGCATGGTGGAAGTGAAGTCAGAGTGTGAAAAGGGGGCAGAGGTAGACAGAACCTGTAGAGCTTTGAGGGTCATTATAAGTTTACTAGTATCATTTACATTTTTTTATCCTGTAGTCGGGGAAAGACATGAGAAACTTCTGGAAAGTTATAACTGCTAGAGTAGAGTTTGGGAGATAAGTAACTTGATACTGAAAGAGGGAAGGACAAACCATGCTTTTTTTCAGGTCTGTGGGCTATACTGTCTTTTCTGCTTAGCTGTGTACAAACACCAGATGAAGACCCTTGATGCTAGAATCCTACCTCTGTCCAGTAGCCTACAGTGATAGTGTGTGTGTGTGTGTG